ATATATATATATATATATCAATATCAATATCTAATTGGTTAATAAATCACACGAAAAATAATGGTAAAATTAATATATTTTTTTAATGAATAGTATATAGTTATTTGTTATATTATAGCAATCTATATTTGTGTTCATTATAGTAAAGTAGAATGCTTTTAAGATCAATTATTTTCTAAATTTATAAGATCACACCGTGTTGAACATAAATTTTTGTACCTTTTAATCCAGAAAACGTAGCCAACGTCCTGAATTACATACGAAATCTATTTTAACTAATCCTAATTAATTCAAATTTTTGGGGTGATAATGTAAGATGTGATATGATCAGATGTGAAGTGATAGAGGACGCTGGAGATGAAAATTTGTAGACAACCATTCAGAGCTCCAAATCAGACACACAAAAAAGTATTTAGGCTTCATTTGTGAGCTTATTTATCATCCTAAAAAGTTGTTACTGATTATATTTACTGATCATAGTCTGATAGTATTTATTAGACTTTGATTTATCTAACATCACTGATGTCGTAAAATGTTTAACCGAATGACACTATATACCATCAACAAATATCAATGTCTTTCAGTTACAATTAAAGTAAAGCTGAAGTTGATAAATAGAAAAATAAAACTGTCGTAATTAAACCAATACTAGTTATTAGATAACTGTACTACAGATTTGGATTTCTAAAAAATAATTACACTTAGAAGACCTGTAAAAAAAATTGTCGCCAAATTTACGACAAAGTTGATGGCGCTAGATTTAGTTACCATATCACTGACCGGGTATGCCGTGACACCATGATCAGGTTTTTGTTGCGTGCCGCCCTCTGGTTGAGTACTGTCAACTGGTTGAGCACCACCGTCTAGTAGTACATCGCCTGTCTGCGCAGTGTTTTCATAATTGTTGTTGCAGAGATCAGTTGTGCAGCACTTGCTACATATGGTCATGCCTCTCACGTCCGGAATATCCATACAAGTGTCAATGCAGTATTGTTCACAGGACCTGGTGTACATTTCTATGACTGTGTCTCTTTTAGGAATAGTTGTTTTTGATAACTGCAAGTAACACGAATATACAGGGTTTATAATGGACATAATTATGCCACGTCGCGTTTTGTTCAGTGACAAGCGCTATATAAATACACATTCGACTGCCATATCATGACCAAACTAAGAACACCAAACTTGATAAACCAAAGAATAAAACCAAAATCAACATAAGGGAAATGTGATTGTTTAAAACACTAATATCAGATTATATACAAGCTGAAGTGATTTAGGCCTATCTGTTAAGTATTTAGTTCTTTTAGTACACTGATGACTGCGTGATACACCTGAAATATTTCTGAGAAATACCTGATTAAATATTGGTTCATTGCTTTTAAATTTGGATCCATTATTCATTAGTTAAGTTACAAAAGTTACCGTATGTTAGAAAGGATCGAATGGAAAAGACTGGAAAACCTTTTTTAAAAATGCAAACAAGCTGAAGCGAACCAGAATATTTTCAACAATTGCAAAACCTTCAGTGCTTCCCCAGAAATGTGATTGTTGGAGACAAAAATAGTAAAGTTATAATCATCATTAAACAAATTCAATCTCAATCTACTAAATAATTATATTCAAGAAAATAAAGTGATAATGTGGACATACCTAATGCATGGGCTTCATGGGAAAGACTGTCGCAACATCAACCCAAATATATTAATTGATTAATCAATCACAATAGTTGAAATTTATGAATTGATCAAACGTAATGAGATTCTTACCATACATATTCCTGAGCAGGTATCCTGAGAAATACTGCTAGTATCCGATAGTGTTTGTCCGCATGTCGGATCTAAAAACTGTGTACAGTTGTAACACATCAATTCACTGCTATAGCCACCTGAAAGTAAATAACGAAAACATTTACAAAAGCCATCATCAATTCAAACGGATACACAAATTAACGACACATCCCATACGGTACTTGCCTTCTGGTTTTGCGTCGCCGTCTGGTTGTGTAGCACCTTTTGGTTGTACATCACCTAGTTGTGTAGCACTTTGTTTACAGCAAAAAAATAATTGTCACTCGTCTTGTGTGTATCATCTTTTCGTGTACTCTGGTAAAACATACACCTTCTATTTTAAGCTTACTTCTTTTCAGATGCCATCTAAGATCGTTTCAGTCTACTAATTTTTTTTTAAATTTCAAATGGGAGGGGATGCTCCACTCAACCTCTCCCC